ATTGTTTGACTGTAAGTTGGACATTTATATATATAAAACCTTTTTCATCCCCATGCTTTAAAGCGCCGAGATATTTGTATTTAAACATCGGCGTAATAGTTATTTATAATTTACATAATAGCTCACTTGATGGCAAAGCTCTTCATAGTCATTCATTAACATGTGAATTAATTATTTTCATAATTGGCTTTTATATTAATGAACAAAATTTTGGTATATCATTTGCCAATTATTTTCGACGCCCATAGCATTGTCGACACGAATAAAACTTTATCGTTCTAGCGTTACAGTCTAACATAAAGGCTTTGCGTAATCATTGAATTTTATAGTGCAAACGTTGCGCTCACTTGATTAACAACCATCCAATTTGCCCTCTGTAGCAATCTATTATATTTTTGAAATATGAAATTTTTAAGGGTGCGTAGTTTTAAAATAGAAACGGCTGCACAAGAGAAAGCCACGAAAGCCATGAAAGCCATTCGAAATAGTAGCAAATGGATCGATGGCTGGGAGAATCAGTATTCTACTGAATAGTAACATTCATAAATATAACGGACTCGATATTTCCTCACCCGTTAAGACAAATATATTGCAAGTGGCTGTTTATCGAGAGAATAGAGTTGGTATAATGCGAGAGGCAAACAAATTGAAGGGGCCTTGTAAAGAGAGTAAGAGGCCGTATGGTTGTTGAGATGTACGCCGTCGAATGTAGAGAAAATCGTTTGGTTCGTCGTAGGATACCGATAAACCATAAGAAGCATAAAAGCCGGCATAAAATATCTCTATGCTAGAGGATAATAACAAAGAATATACAGGTACTCGCTTTTGTTATAGGCATCGCGTGGATTGAATTAGTTTTATAGTTTCATCAGGTAGCTTTTCGTCTCCTTTCATTTGTCCGTCCGTCTTTATCGCTCGGCTCGAGGCGGCTGTGCAATAAAAGGAGACAAATAATACACTTCCACTCCTCGCTCCTTTCCCGATTCACCGTATCGAGTTTTACAACTTTCTTTGCAATGAGGTACGAGGACACGAACGAACTACTTACTATTTGTCGATCACACGATAATCACGCGCACTTTTACCATTATACGTTTTACTTTCGGTACGCATTATATTCCTGTAATCGTCGTAGGCGAGCCGCCAAAATGGGCCGACGCAAGGGTTATACGACTCGCGCACACCAAAATCTTTTATACAGCCAATTCCACGAGACGACTTCTTAATTACAGTTAACCTCGTTATTATTACGATTGGCGTGGCAGCACGGATTTAGAAGTTTGGCGGGGAGGGGCGGAGGGAGGCCTGATAATTCAGTCGCTGTCTACTACCGCAATACATTCATGGGCTCGATGTGGCCTCTCTGTCCTCTCTTTACCATTGGATTTATTATTTGCTTATATGCGGATACGCGCATTGTTTATGAATTCTTGTGCATAAACGATTTAATAAAGATCGGATACGAGATGAATAGGCAGGCCTCCGGAGGGGCTCAGCAACTCGACTGGATTATCGAAATTCGATTAGGAGCTTTTCGTCCTTATCACAAGCTTTTATTACGCGACAACATGCGCCTCGAAAGAAAAAGAGCACATCTCTCGCGGCGAATATGAAAGTGCGCCACGTATGAGGGGCGGTAATGGTTGGATTGGTATTCGGAAGCCGTAGGTATCAGGGATCATGTAGATTCACCGAGAGCCATCATCGTCCTATCCGCTCATCGAAGACGTGATAGTCGGCGCGTAAATCAACGCTAGCGGTTGAGCCTACAAGCTGTTACATCCTGATGATGATACGCCCGTCTGAACTTTTCCGACCTGTCGCCACGAACTCTTCTTATGGGATTTTATGCGTGGATGAAAGTTCCTTAATCTCGATCCCCTTTCCCGGCACTAGATGTCGGGGGGTGGGGGGTGGGGTGGGTCTCTCTCCTTCTCTCTGTTTTCCCCTCTCTCTCTCTCTCTCTCTCCTTCTCTCTGTTTTCCCCTCTCTCTCTCTCTCTCTCTCCTTCTCTCTGTTTTCCCCTCTCTCTCTCTCTCTCTCTCCTTCTCTCTGTTTTCCCCTCTCTCTCTCTCTCTCTCTCCTTCTCTCTGTTTTCCCCTCTCTCTCTCTCTCTCTCTCCTTCTCTCTGTTTTCCCCTCTCTTTTGGAAATGTAGGTAACGCGGAGAAGGAGGAGAAGGTATTGGGAGGACTAATTAGAAAAATATTATTAAATTTTTCGAGAGATCGTTTCAATGAAGCGGCGACGGAACATCCAAGGGGATAATGTAGAGCGTAAAACGATCATTAATATCCATTAGGCTTTAAGATCTGGGGTGGCATAAAAGAAAAAAAATTAATTCGAAAATATCTTATTATATTAGTAGTAGTCGTGATTTTATTATCTTGAGAGCCTTACGATGTACCACCATCAGTCGGTTAACTGAAAATGAAAACCTAATTTATATACTTATTTTATATTATATTTTATAAATAAACTTGCTCGTGATGCGAGCTGGCGAATTCGTTCGAGCGAGTTGCGAGGGGAAATTTTGGTTGATGTAAGTAAGTTGAGGCCGAAACAGAGTAACGCGGTGAGGTCCGAGGCAATTATTTCTCATATAAAGGCAAAGGAGAATAAAAAGCCGAGGAGAAGAGCAGACATTGTGAGTAACGGGGGTGGTTGAAGTGAAAATGCAACTCGCGAGTAGGCCACGACGGAGCATAAGGGCTATTTCAATTGTAGCGCGCCGCGGTAATTACACTGAAATTATGCAGTACTTGCCAGCACATAGAAATTCTACATTGATGCCTAGTCTATTATTTTCGTATACGAGTGCCGAAGCCGGCGGCGACTCTCGGAAAAACAATGCCGCTAGTACGAGGGGGCGCCCATCCCTCGCAGGTGTGCTCCATTCGCGCTTCGACACGGGCTGCGGCTTCTCAATTTCGCTAGTGTACGCGATCCTCGACGTGTAGCAATGAGAGCGCGTGCGCCATGCTGTTCCTCTCTTTAGCATATTGGCCATAAGATATTCGGAAGCTATTAAACAGTTGCGAGTCGGACACTTACATCCTCTTTTATTTGCGCTTAGAGAAATGCCCGTTTAATTGAGAGGAGCGATTATTGGCTTAGAGTATTAATATATTGGCTATTTTCAATAGAATAATTGAAAATAATTGGAAATTGCACTCGGTTACGGTGTATTTGTTCATTTGTAACGCGAGTATTGTTGATTTATAATCGTAATAACAATTGATAAAGCATGGAAATAAATTTGATAAGACACGTGTGAGTAATATTAGGAAAATGGGGCGATATGGAGTGAAATAAAACAATTGTTCTTTGAGTTTTACACAATTCTCAAAATATGTATTTTAACTTATCTTTCTCCTTTTTCACAATCCGTTAATCATCAAAGTGCGACAATTTCGATGACTATACAATCGTTTCAAATAAGATATTACTACTTGAACGTATCATTCATTTTCACGTTTCTATTCCATTTTCTTTAGCGATCGAAGCTTCGATAAAACATGTCGGCCATTATTTCATCCAATAAATACAAAGAATAATAATTCATTATATTAAGCACTGAATATATTTCGATGTTATCTGTTTACATTTATGTACAATTTTGAATTGGTCAGAATTCCATAATAATCCAACGACGTCTCTTTTTATCTTTGTGTTCTTGATGCTCGAGGAATAGATGTTTATAAAAATACATTCCTGCGATTGATACAGAATATAATTACTACTAAGGTAATCGGTATTATTGTAATGCTATAAAATTATCATATCGCATGAAAGTAGAAGTAATCGAATAGTGCAATTTAAATTTCGATAATTGGAATAAACGACGTTGGTTGAAGCTCGTTGAGATAACGTTCCATTAGCTTGTGTGCATATTACTTTTACACAATTTTCATACAAACTTTATTCAATTTCGTTCACTACTCCATAAGCAACGTGTATAATTCGCTCGAACAAATATTCTCATCTTATTCTCATATTTACTTTTCCATTTTAATTATTTATTTTGAAATTGGCACCGTGCATTCGTCGCAATTAATTTTTATGACATACTCGCGTTAAAATCGATCTACATTGAGCCGAAAACATTATTATTCTTTTTGCGTTTTTATCATTTTTTTCACTCTTTTTTTTTTTTTTTTTTTTTTTTTTTTTTTACTTAAAATTAGGTACTTCATAGAGTGATGCCTCCTTAATCTGTATTTATTGTAACGATTAATATCATGGGTCTACATGTCTCGTGTGAAAAATAAACTTCGAATGCATTTCGTAGATTCTTTTTCCCTCGGATAAATTGATCGGTATGATGAATGCCTCGGTGTGCCGTCGTAATATTTAGCTTAGCTTAGCAAGTTACATAAATTATTCTTCATCTTCTTCTTCTTCTTCTTCTTCTTCTTTTTTTTTTTACTTACAACGATATACTTCCGCTTATAATAAAAAATCTTGCACGAGAAAAAATATATTTACACATCGCTGTATTTTATTATAATTACGCATTCCACGACAGCATGTGATTTATATTTTACATCGCTTACATTACGCTTGTCGTAAATGTTTGACTCAAGTAAACACGAAACACGGAAGATTTAGATCATATGTATGTTTCAGCATGGTATATTTAAGTACGGCGGGCTCATGATGCGCCGACTTTACGGAAAGGAAGATTCCGCATACCGGGGAAATAAAGGCGTAGCTGGATAAACGTAATACTCGCAGAAGTGAAATGTTTGATAGCGGTTGGGTGGTGTAACGGCCCGCAGATCGAAATGAAAAATGAAAAAACGAAAAAATGATTGGGGGGGGGGGGGGGGAGAAATGAGAAGAAAGAAAAGAAAAAGGAGAGCTCGAGGAAGAAACGGGAAAAGTGATAGAAGCGAGAGAAGGAGGGATAGGGGGCATGTATAAGTGCAGCGATGTCTTCCGTCAATAAAAGTCGCGCGCAATTCCTTGCACGAGAGTGGAGCCGAGAGTAGATGGGGCGTCGACTCCTCGTTCATCTACACTCGTTATCAGGAACGTAGCCTAGAGGGTTTCAAGGAGATTCTGAACGAGGAGGGCCGGCGCCGTGACTCGAGTCTTCCCCCCGCCCTTCCTCGTCTGTCTGCTGCAGGTCCGCAAACTGCAACGTGCGCCCGCGCGCTCCAGCTGCTCCGATTTGTTGCTGTCCTGCTCGAGCTGTACCGAGACGCTGGCAACCCGCGGCCGAGACTCGCAGCCGCTTTCCTGCAATCACAAGCGTTATCACCTCTGAGGCTACGGCTTACGTCATTCCACCAAAGGCAGGTAAAGGGGTTAAGAGGAGCCATGGGTCGGAAGCAGCGTGTTTTAAAGTAGTCGTTAAGCGGAATATGCGATCGTGAATACTCGGCTCGATGAATTCTCGCCTCGTTCATTTGATTTTAACGATTACCTGTTGAACTTTGTGACGCGACGCGATATTATCCGTGCCCCCTGACACGTATACAATCGACCTTTCAACGGCTTCCTTTTCATTCGAAAGATTTAATTATTAACCATACCTTGTCGCTGTAATTCATTCAGACAAAAATTTTTGACAAATCTCGCAACCAAGCACTTTTGACGCGTTTTACCAGATGACGTGGGCGTGATATTCTTTATGTAGAGAACGGCCCTTCGCCCCGTGCAATTTCGGACTTTAGCAAGAAATTTGCTTTTTGCCACTCGATAAGATTGTGTTGCATAAGGTATGGACTTTACTATGTGGCGAGATCGTAAGAACAAGTCTTTATAATTTTCGAACTCCGATTGCATGCATAAAATTAATTTTTTGCATCTTTGCCGTTATACGTGAATTTATGAAGTGAATTTCTAAACATTCTGTGCCAATCGTTAATCATTTCTCTATAATCGCTTCATTAAAATCCTTTTAATAAATACATGGACTTATTTACTAAACAACGACGACAACAACAACACCAACAACACCAACAACAACAACAACAACAACAACAACAACAACAACAACAACAACAACAACACATTTTGCTAATATTTGGCAAATAAAATGTATGCAAATAAATTATTAACGACGCAGTAATACACTGTAAATTTATCACAAAAACTACGCGTTAATACAAAGTGCATTATGTTTTAATGAATTTGTCGATCGAGGTGATAAAGTGATTCTAAATATAACAAATAATAACCAAGCACGTTAGAGAAATTCTGAGGGAGGGAAACTTTGGTGAGAAAATATAACCGAGTGAGCTTTGAAATGTTGCAAATGCATTATATACTTTTCAAAATTATCGCGCTTCTTATCAAATGGCTCGAAAGTGGCTGACTTGTTTTTGCATAAATTAATAGTTGCTAATAATGTACACTATGCTAAAGTTTCTCACGATAGTTAGAGCTTGTGATGTAAGCTTGTAGAAACAGGAGACGAAATTTGATACGCAAGGAGCCGCGAGGAGAGAGGGGAATGCGTAAAAAGGATCGTTTCGCTCGCCCTTTCCAAATGAACCTATCAATTTAATTAGAATTATGACGACTACGCTAGGAGCTCTTAATTAATCCTCTTGAGGGACTTTACTACAAAGAGACCTAGACAGTGAGATACATTGCCAAGTGAATTCTAAACAGAAATTCTCGTGCTGGACAGAATTCAAAATTCTCTTGCTGTTCGACTTCTTTTACTTAATTAACAAAGCCGATGTTAAAGTTTTTGTTAGCAAGCCGACCGATTTATAACTTTAAGCAAACGACTAATTAGTTAAATTATACTTACCAACAAACAGAAGCTGCGTCGATGCTCATACGTTCTTTGACGCGATTCATGTTGTAATTGCCATGCTTGAATATACAAGTCGCCTCGGTATATGAAACCACCTCTTCTAGCCCTCAGCATAATGTGCCACCTGCAGCATTTATTTCAAAAGCTCTTTTCAAATTACCGCAAAAATTAGGTCATATTTTTGTAACGGAATCTTATGGTAATTAAACAGGATATTAAAATCATTGTACTTAAGAGGAATAACATGCTAAAGAAATCTTATAATGATAAAGTATATATATATACATTATTATTGAAGCTTCAGCAATTAAATTATTTTAAACTCTTTGAATGTATCTATATCGTTGGTCTGTGTGAGATTATGCGATTTTGTTAAGATGTCTTAAGAGATGTCTTAATTGACATGCTCAATCATTCATTTTATCTATAATTATGCATACTTTCATTTTACATTTATTAGAGATTCAAGGCATGACATTATAATAAAAATTGTGAAATAGTAATTAGTTTGTATTTACTCTGTTGAAGACGATATTACTTATCCTAGCATATAGTAAAGTTTTATAGGCAACAATTATAGATGTACGAATTTCATATTTAAAAATGCAATCGTTTTTCGATTATTGTACTGTCTCATATGAATGTTTTGCCTAACAGGCGTGACTATGTCGGGTAAGGGTAAAATAAAATATAAATTTTATTGTCAGATTATTAATTAAAAGTAAATATTTCGTTTTCGTAATTGAATGATTACATTAAATAATAAAGAAAATTATAAAAATTATCTAATTGTATAAATGAAAATCGTAAGCTATAGACATTTAAGGAGTATAGAGATAAATCAACATAAAAATATGTAATTGACAATAATTAAATGAGTCGTTGGTAGGATAATGGATGTTTATATTATATAACAACATAAGCTATGGATAAAATAAAAGAGAAACTTAGAAGTAGATAATATTTCAAAAATATATATATATATTTATTAATGCAAAATACTCTCTTGAAATTTCGAATACTTAGAAAAATATATAGTCACTGTAGAACGAAGCAGGCGAAGAATGTAGAAAATTACATAATCATGAGAGGCACATTATATTTCACCCATTATTTTAAGGATCATTGAATCGTGTAGTTAGCATAATAGAAAATAAAAGACTATCACGCTGGATTCGAGAAGAAAATCCGGAAAATAAAAATGTTTTAGTAGCTTAAGCATAGATAGATAGAAGCATAAATAAATAGATTGACCACCTTTGTCGATAGCTTCGATGTTATGATAGATTATGCATTAAATATTTATAATTAGTTCTTTCATAATGAAGTAAAAGTGAAAATTAATCATATCACACATGATATCATTCTAAAATAATTTTCACGATATTACTATTACATATTTTTCTTATGTTGTTTGGTGCAATTTATTCTTATAAACTCATCGTGCAAGCGTTTCCAAGTTTTCCGATTCACTTTACTATTTCGCGAATATGCCGTATAATTTAAATTACAAGTCTCTGTAAAAAAAAAAAAATAAAAATAAAATAACAATATAGTTCAGCAGTTATTGAAAAATTATTTTAAATGATGTTAGGAGTCATATTTAATTATATTTTATTTCAATTATGTTCTATAAATTGATTCTAAATTATGTTAATAGTTACGGTTAGGTATTGTAAATATACGTATACGCATGTAAATAGACAACTGTGCTTTGGAAAGATGATCGAGACCTATTCCTCATTGAAATTGTTGTAATATTGATGGGTTAATGGATTGTCACTTAAAAATAAATGAAATATACAAACCATTATGTACATTTAAAAAATAAATTCAAAGTGAGAATCATCATTAATGAACCTCGAAAATTAATGCCGTATGCTGTATGTTCGTAATATATACTTCAAAATGTTAATAGCGAACACGAAAATCGAAATACACATAAAGAATGAAAGAGAATTCATCATTCTAGAACAGATGGAAAGTATCTTTAAAAGAAAACGTGATTTATATCAATTTTATAAGGTCAATGTGATAATGTAGCAATAAGCAAGTGCAATCTCATCTTTATGCACTTCAGTTTTGTCGTTGTTCTCTGAGCGCTCAGTCATTAGATGAATCGATAATTCATAGCATTATTTATTACTTTTTACTAGTCTACTACGTGTCTATACTATTGATTTATTTATAATAATAAACTTGACTTTTAAAGAAAATATTGATTAGATAATTGAAGAAATGAATACACGTATGTACTTTGTAAAATAGTTATAGTATTGTGTCATTTCATCGATTTGACAAACATTGTCCAACTTGTAACTGATTTATCAATTTCACTCAACATCTATATTTCACTTCTATTGTCATAATTATTTGAAAAAATATTAAAATTATTTAACATATGCACTATGTCAACTTTCTAAGCAGATATTTTAATAATATTTATCTTAAATGTATATTGGGAAATTTGTAATTTTTTATTATCATAAATATCTTTCTCATCAATATAATATTATAATCCGCAGCTATGACTAAATGCATTTATTATTTTACAGAATATGTTAGGTGAGTGAATCATAACATAAATATAGTTTTTACGTATAAATGCATCGAGACATATTGATAATAAACATTGAAAAGTTCTTAAATTTTATGGGATTAAAAGCAGCTTTAATCATGAGATGTCGATAATGATATTTTGTAGATTTTATCAACTTTATAAATATGCACATAATTGTATTATGACAAATTAAATCCACTTAAAAGTTTGAAAAAATTATGTTTTTAAGCGACCATTTGCATATTATCTTATTTATGACGAAATAATAAATTAGAAACTAAAGTTTTTACTTCAATTTTATTTTTTATGCTTTAATTATATATTTTTAAAATAATTCTTACTGTTTTAAATAATACGATTATGCGTCAAATTAAATATAATTTTCATTTAGTTGATAATCAGTGGAATTTTTTACCGATAAAGCATTGATAAAGTTATATTTAATGCTTTGGAAATTGCTGATTTCAGTATTAAGATTATGCCGCCATTAATTATGAAATATGATTGCAACAAGTGCGAAAAGTAAAATATCTTTAAAGCTGTTGAATAAAGAAAGGATTTCAAAGAGAATTTAATAAGGAAGTAAGGAAGCTTGGAACGAATGTTTTAAATTGATACATAGGACAACGGCACTTTATTCCACATTATTTTTATTTAATATCGACGAATTATTAAACGAAGACGTGACTCTTGTTACAGATAAATGTGAGAATTGATGTATGGGAAATATCAAGTATGATGAAGCAGCGAAGCTTGTTATATTTTCGAAATTTCGAGTAATTTTATACAGTGCTGTGACGGAAAATTCATATATATTCTCGCTGTTACAGAAAATACGAGGATAAAATATTGAATTTTTGAAAATAATAATGGGGTCCGATGGGCGCGTTGTACGATCTTGATCTACGATCGCAAGTGAGATTTAATGAAACAGTTATTGTAAATATTGTCGAAGAAGTACATGGCAATAAAAACTACAAGAAAGAATATCGACTATTTATTTCTTTATTAAATGCTACACAAACAGAGCACGTAAAATAAAGTCAGTTCGAAAAGTTTGAAAGAATGTATAAGTTCTCAAGGCGTGCTTGTTTATTTTCTCTCGATAACTTTTAAAATCCATTTATGTTAGTTTTCGTATACAAGAATAGATATAGCAAGCGCTACCATAGACCTTGATGTTATGAAAGTTGATCATTCGGGTGTTATATAAATATAGCGATGAAAAGACGCCAAAGAAGGAAAAAATTGCGTATTAAAAATGATAAGCATCTTTTCCAATATTTCCAATGAAAGGCTTTAGATAATCTTTGACGAAGGCAGGATGCTTCTGTATCAGAAATGATTATTTTCTAAGAAAAAATTCATTACCTCCTTATATATTTATCGTTTTATCGATATTTAATCATCGCGTCATCTTTTAATATTATTAAATAATTAAAGTTTGAATATGAGATATATTACATACAATTTTACCGAAAATATTTGACAAGCTTTAGACATAAAATAAAAACAATAAATAATATAATACATAATTTATTTTAGTTGCGTCTTATTATCATATTTATTGAATAGAATATATCTTATATTGAAAATATCGTATCATTGCCATTGTTAAATTTAATTAAATTATATTCATGTTGTTTTGCAAACAAATTCTTGATCAGGTTTATGCTTACGTACTAATAGTTTCTTAGAAAATTTATGTTTAAGTAACTTCCCCAATAACATGCTCTAGATAAATAATCATAAAGTATTTTCAAAATTAAATATAAAAATTTGATTATAAATGTAGATAAATGGAGCACATAATTGTAAGTAGTATTGCTTGCTCATCATTGGATGTAGTTAAATTTTAAATTTTATTTTCTCTATTTACAATAGAAACAATGAATGAGTATGGAAAGGTTTTATCATAAATTTATTAGCCATGTAGTATTTTGATTGAAAAACATTTTTAAAGCTCATATTTCTGTTTTTAATTGTATTTAACATTAATTCTATCGATAATGTTGAAAATTAATTAAAGATTTTAATGTGTAATTAAAAATTAAAAAATTAAAAAATGTAATATCGAAACATATCCATTTTTTTTTTATTTACATGTCATGGTATTTATTTTAAGCTGATATATATATTCTTTTTAATCAGACATTGTTATTGATATTTAAATTTTCAAGTATAAATTTAAATAAAATTTATGTTCTGAAATGTTTTGCAGTCATTTCACGTTTAGAAAATTTACGATATAAATTAGACTTTTAGAGAATTTAATGTCATTTATTATGTAAGCTAAGCTACTTACCTGCAGTTGTTAATATTTCATGAGAATACCACGTATATGTGTATAGAATATATGAGTATGTATATATAATATATGCATGATGTGCATAAATAGTATAAACCTAATTTGTTTGGATTTGATTATGTTAAATAGTAAATTAAAAAATTTCCGTTTATCGATAAAATCTAATAAAAGGTAGGATCAAAATAATTTCAAGCGTGTTTTGAGAATACGTCAATATATCAACGTTTTTACAATAATGTTGATAATTATCCATATGATAAATGAAGTATATAATATTGGTAGAAATTTATTTTAAGCCTCGGGTTTGAGAAGCGCCGAGTATGAAAATCGATAAAGCAAATCGCACATTTGGAATAGCAGTAGAAACGTCAGCGTTACAAGGAAGGGCAATAACGAGAGAAAAAGTTTAATTGGAAATAGGAAAAATTTAAGTACCTCGGAGATTCACGGCAAGTGGTCCTTCATTTACCGAGTGTCGGATCGAAGGCCGTAGCGCGCATCACTTGCCACGTGTGTAGGAGGTGTGCGACCGAGTTGGTGCGACTCGGGTCGGTTTGGTTGTGGGGGTGGGGCGATGTTGGGAGGGGAGGGGGACATACTGCACGCATCCCCTGCAGTTCACTGCAGGCGGTTGCTGTAGCCGCGCGTTGCAGGTTTGAAGCGGCGTGTCTCGCTTCCCTCAACGACCGGATTAATTTCTCATAAATCGTTCGCGGTTTTCGTTGATTGGTCCAGGATTCCATTTATTCTCTTCGCCTCTAAAGCAATCAAGTACACGACAAACATCGCTACGGATAATTGAAAAGTATACTGGCACAGTTTTTTATTTATTACGTCTTTGTCCCTCGAATTCTAGTGCTTCAATTCGATCTGGTTACCCAATATGGCAATATTTATTATTTATGCAAAATTAATGATGTATGATCGTGTCACTTTTTATTCTAATGAAATCTTTTGTTTGTTATATTTCGATGAGGAAATAATTTCCGGGACAGCTTTGTAGTTGCATACTGATTTATATTTACATTTTCGGTATACGAAACTTCTACCTTTATCGCTATTCTACTTTGTAGATTAAACACTCGATAATTAATTTGAATTAAAAAGTACTTTGATTAACGAAATACAAATATGATTATCATTGCAGGAAATTTAATGTAAATATTTGAAATCTTATATGCTAAATACAAGATATGTATAGAATAGATTTTTACAAACTTTAATTTGTAATCTGTATTTTTTACATACAAGCAAGCGTTTTGAATACAGAGGCGAAATATTATTCATTTAAAAATAATTATAAGAGAAAAATATTTTTACAAATTACTATGGACTATTTAACTATTATAATTAATTACTAAGATAAATATAAAAAAAGTCACCAAAAGAAGGGTGGAGATTTAATCGTTTATGTTCACTGTACGACTTAATATTGCTTAATATAAAATTTTAGCAACAAATATGCCTCTTTTTTTTTCTTTTTTCTTTTTTTTTTTTTAACAAATAAATATATAAATACGTAATGATTCATTATAGTCAAATATTAAATTATTTTATAATCGTAATGTAAACTGTATTTAATTATCATAATCTTAAATAATTCAAATTTTTCTAATTATTAGAATTAGAGTGAGAAAACTTGAAAATTTTTAAATCTTAAGCATAGGTATAGAGATTAACTAGTTATGTTAACTCGAATATTTAAAATATATAGTTAACACAAAATATGAAATTTAATGGATCATAATAATTTTAATATACTTTTTTTATTTACCAATAAAAATTATCTATCATTTTATATAATGTAAATATTATACAATTTTATAGATTATAATTACGATAGAATAAAATCAAAGTATCGGAGTTTAAGAATCGTAATGTTTCTTCATACTGAACGATTATGTGCATATTTATTGTTCTGAATAGATTCCTATAATGTTTCCCATGGCTTGCAACTTGCTTGTAATTTATGTTCAATAACGCTAATGGATAATAGGTCGATATACTTTATTATTTGCATCTGTGATAAATGTTTATGACATGTTCTACATTGTTTGTAATGAATTTTTGCCTTATCTTATGGCAGGAATAATATAGTTATTTTTAGGGTCGATTATTATAATTTATTTCAAATATTTAAAATGCTTTCTGTAGTTTATGAATCAATAATTTTAATATAATTTGAATTTTCATCTTTTTGCTCATTTTATTTCAATGATAATTTCCAAATTTTCAAAAGCGAATAATTGGCCTTTTCAATCGTTATTTAAGCGTTATATAATAATAATTGCAAATTTATAATAATGAGATGTGATGTGACTAATGAATGTAATATAAAACTAATTTAGATTATTTTATGATAATAATGCTGCAATACATAATTTTGATGTCACACAGATCCTTGTTCTGTTCCTCTTAATTTCTATGGTTTGAAAAATAACAAATTATTGATATAATTATGGATCCTATATTATAATTTTTCAAATACAAGATTGTATCGATTCAAGGTAATTCATTATTTCAAATGTTATAAAGACCAATTCAACGACTATACGGCACCAGTTTAACATAACTTTACCGTTACATTACATGGTAAATATATATATATATACATATTTCTGGGTTTGTATAGTAATGTATGTATACTTGTTTTGTACTGAACTTAGAAACTGAAATGCACTATTTAAAAAAATATCTTGATATGTCTGTATACGTGTATTTAGCACACAAATACATATATCTATTAATAAGTTCTTCTGTATAGATAGTAAGTAGGCTGATCTTGTTACATTCTCTCTCCATTATATTAAATAAATACAGACGCGTATGAATTTTTTAACTATGATACACTTGCACCTATAATTTTCGTTTAAAATTTTTCAATCTTTGTAATATATTAATTTATATAGTTCCAAGGCTTATATATTGCTATAAATTTCCATGAATGTGTATTTTGCGCACAAGTAGTTATATTTATAATATAAGTTTAATATTTATTTGATTAAATATTATGAAAAAATTTCTAAGCTCTTATTCATAATAGAATTGGGTATTTATATAATTATTTATATAATTATGAATAATATTAAGTAAAGAATTTTGAAAAAAAGATATTCCACGAGTAATAAACGGCAATAAATTTTCTTTATTCGAATGAAAAACCACCTATATAGTTTTATTGGGCCGAAACACGTTTATACGACTAATATTTTTTTATAACTAATGTTCTGTAATGAGCTGAGCTACCAATGTTTGAATACCTTCGTTCAGTCATTCTCATATAATAATCTCAATTTGAAATCGAACACCGAGTCAACGTTATAGGTGGAATAAAATATAATTCTTTTCTTTTTCGTTAAATTTTAAATGCACACACACACACACACATATTCTTATGGATTTAACGACCGTTCAAGTATTATGCAAGAAAAACATTACTAATAAATATAACTATGAATTATAATATAATAGGATTAAATATAATAACTTTTAAATTATTTTTATACGTCCAATAATTTATATAAATAATAATCCGTAATGCAATAAAAAGAATTTTTTATTTTACCTAAAGATAATGTTAAAAGAATGTTATTCGCATAATTGTTTATAAATATACAAAAGATTAAGTAAACTAAGTATTAGGCATTTTTAAGAATACTTTTGCTAATACATCCAATCAAATGTATAATATCCATTTATTTGAACAACTATATTATAATGTAATAGTTAAGGGAGACGCTACGATATAGTAATTTATTACGAATCATACTAAGCTATTATCTTTTCGAATATCTATATGAATTTAATGAATTAAAAACTATAAAAGGAAAAAGATTTAATTTATGAACAATCAAGCTGTCAATTAAACCGATAGGTTGGAACATTACAAAATAATTTAAAAAAGATTTTATTTTTATATCACGAAATATTACGTCATTACTAACGTTTCACAAATAAAAAAGTATTTTAATCAAGTTTAAATTATTTCATACAATTTAATTAAAAAAAAAAAAATTGAATATAAATAAACAAAATTTTATAATGTTATATTAAATTATGAGGAGTAAAATATATTTAATAGTTACATATTAAATTACTAATTAGCAGACTATTAACTGTTTCTTTTTTTTTATCTTAATGTTTGAAAGTTGTTATTATTATCAATTAGGAATGGATCTTATCAATATTAGGAATATCATTATTAGGAATATATTATCAATGCAAAGGAATAGGTATTAAAAATTTTACCTCGTTATTAACTGGTGAACTCTCGGCCATTGTCCTCGAGATCTTAAGATTCTCGCCGTACCTAGAAGCGACGACCTGTGCACTGGCGAAAGTGACATTCCCCTGAGGTAGTACTTCAATGCAGGAAGCCATTTCCCTAAAAAAGACATGAAAATCTGTTTCGATTCTTGTCTATATCAAGATGTATATATACATATAAGCGAGCGAGGAGATGGCATAAAAAGGGAAGCTGCTCGAAGATTCCGATAGTGGAGCGGCAAACAGATGAAGAGCATAGACATTCATTCAGCGAGAAAGAAGTCGCTGCGTAGTCGAACAAACGATATATTATTATCCGCGATTTATATTCTATATGTGAGGCATTTCCATTCTCATGAGTGGCTAGTCCTGCAATAGTATCCTGTATTTCTTACGAAGCAGTGAATTTTATAAGTACCCAAAGGTAGATCAGAATTCACAAGATGAAATGACTTATTGCGCTGGAAGAGTAAATATAAAAGCATATTACTTACAATAGTAATCTTCCATCAGAAATCTATCTATATAAAAAAATGTCTTGGGAAAAATGTAATATTGTACAGTCGCACACGTACGTCAGAGGGCTTGTACATTTCCCATTTTTAAATTTTTGGAACCTTCCAATGCTGTGTCCTTCTGGACTTCTCGAATATTCTAGAGCTTAGTCTCTGACGTCATCGAAGCTCTCGGCATAGTAACAAGCCCATGCATTGTTGCCAGCGTTGTAAGCTCGCCACGCTCCTTAGCTCACTGTATTTTTCTCAATCAATCAGTTATCAGTTATTACTCATACAGCCACTAAACACCGCCGTATACCAGTCAATCAGCTTTACTAAATATATATATACATACACACGCGCGCGCGCGCGCTCGCGCAATTCAGCCAGACTCTGCATTAATATGATAGTAAACCAATAGTGAAGGCAAATAATTTACCCACTAATTTAAGCGCGCTAAGCAGTCAAGAGTGTTGATTGCATTTTAAGAGTGAATATAAGGAGCGCACCACCGACGCACTCATCAATGAAAAGGTAAGATAATATATTTCTGTGAAATTTAATTGATCGAGAAACTACTTGAAGGCGCAACCACGTCAGCCGAGTTAGGCACTATTAGTTCGTAAAGTGCTGCGAACGGCCAAGGTGTTTCAGCCAACAGTTACAAGGACACCACTTGAAGAAGCAACAACGTCAGAGGAGTTAAGCACCACCGAAGGCGTAACCACGTCAGCCGAGTTAGGCACCACTGAAGTATTAGAGATTTAAGACCTCTTACTTTCAATGGAACCATTTACCAGGTAACCATTTAACAGGTGTATTAGGTCACGATAGAAGATTTACAATCTTCTAGGAGCCTTAGGACTTAAATGTAATAGAAATTTCTCGAATGAAGATCTTGCAACTGAACTAGGTCAAATGCTTACGACTAGTGCGGCAAATCAGACGATCCTACTTGAAAGAAATGAAGTCACAGTCAAATTTTCTCAATTTTTAACTCAGGCTCGAACGCTGACACGCATAATTAGATAATTATTCGTTAAGCTCATTTTTCAAGCAGTCATAATGGATGCTCCTATTTGAGTAAATTATCGGTAAATTTTATTACATAATGTATTATCCCTCTGTGCCAGTGCCTAAGCGTTTAAACCTTTAAATATTAATGATTTTCCAAACGATTAATTGCAATAATGCTTACCATTTTGATAAAGCCATGTTGCATATTCTGCCACGTAATCGGGACTCTTTGGTTGCAAGCGAACGACGTGTTTCAAGAGTGAACCCGTTGTCGCGCCACTCGCCATTCTTGCAAGTACGAGGTAGGCCGGTGTGTAGGCGGGATCCAGAGTAACGCATTTCTGCAGCATCCTTATGCATTCGTCTGTCCTGTTTGTTTTTCTGAAAGAGCGAATGATTTCAGGTTTGGATTGGCTTTAGTCGGGCGAAGCTAGAGTTGAATGTTGTTCGAAGGGTCGTGTGGATTTGACGAAATCAGCCAAGTTTAGAGTGTCGATGGAAATCTACTTTGTCATTGCTCGTACGAAATTCATTGTTCACGTAGATGATTAAAAACTGAATTTTTCTTTTTAAAAACGCGGGTCGACAATATTTCATGATGGGAATGTATTATCAATTATTATTGTAGGGAGAAAAGGCGAAAAACGAGAAGGTAGGAGAGTGGGAGGTAAAGCAAACCGATGGAAATGAGAAAATGTGAAAAGGGGTAGGGGATGAAAGGACGAAAGAGCTAGGGATCAGAGATTCGGTGGATGTTAAAAAAAAAAGTCGATACATGGTTTTGCCGTCATAAATCCAAGCGGAAGCATATAAATTGAACGACAATCTCGTGCGGAATAACGCGTGGTTGGCGCGCATACTCGCAAAATTGTAGTGTCGCGGTCGGATTGACGCAAAATTATGAGCGCCATGATGCAATCAACTTGGACTTTAACAAAGGCTTTGATAATTAACGCGAACGTTGATGTTTTACGCGTTTAATCGAGCGACTATTACTTAAAAAACGTGGATTAATATTCACATGGTTATCCGGGAATTTTTCCACTGTCGTTCGCATTCCTTTACTTTTTTCTCTGGGTTTTGTAGTTTCGTTTTTGTCTCTTCGTTTTATCTATATTATTTAGGCCTTTTCCGAATGATCGAAACGTGCATGGAAAATAACCAAGTAGAGTCAGAGTCGATATGTATTTAACCATACATGCATATGTAGTAGTTCATTTAAATACAGTGATATCCACTTTAAAGGGACATGTGCATTCGAGTTTCATTGAATAATTGAGGACGAAGAAAGGCGTATTCACCTGTACAATTGACCAAGATTGTAGTGAGCATTCACGTGGCCCGGTTGAGCCTGAATCGCAGCCAAAAAGTGTTTCTCTGCTTGATCACCCGCTGTTAATGTACCCAAATTATTGTGAGCACTCGCGTACGTCGGCCAGAGCCTGAAAAACCAAGGGAAATAAGAAATTATTTTATATCGTGATTATAATAATATTAATATCGATAGACTGGATATAATGTATGAATAGTCTTTGAAAGAGGAAAATTATGAATATCCGAGCTTAAAGAGGATATTATCTGCTGGATGGAAGCTAGTTCGTCGTCTTACATATATTACGGATTTATCACTAGACGGAACTTCCGACAGCGGTAAGCCTGTAAATTCATTTTTGTCTTCCCTCTTTTCTCTGATATTGTCATTTGTATATTTCCTTCGAAAATAGTCGAAATTTGTACGTGGGTGGACGTACAATAAGCCTAGGATACGCATGAAAATGGGCACGTAGCGCACACACGCACGCGCAGAGTGAGCGAGAGGGTAAATAGAGATATAGACAGATAGATAGATAGATATATAGATAGATAGATAGATAGATAGATAGAGAGAGAGAGAGAGAGAGAGAGAGAGAGAGAGAGAGAGAGAGAGAGAGAGAGGCACACACACACACACACACACACACACACACACACAAAATATAGTTTTGCTATAGATACGACGGTATAACGCGGGGGAGAGATATGTGCATGGAAATATACACGTAAATGATCCGCAAACCACCTTGTCATTCTCGGAAGGATAACTTGGTAGTGACGTTTGACGTCAATTCCGGCTCCCAGTCGATTAGCAGTGGCTCTTGTCCACGTTGAGGAGTTTCAAATCTCCCGTACCTCCCTCTCTAGGAGCATACATTTCGAATGTCATGGTTTCCCCGTGCTTTTTAACGCTGTTACAGTCGTGGTTTTCGTTACTAGTCATCGAGCCGCACGCCATGGTTTCGTATTTAGTCACTACCAAGCTAGCTAAAGTTTCCCGATAAACAATCTCGACGCGCTTATGCTTTTATGGAAGAGATCTATTTTTTTATGGGAAGGCGGAGGAAGTCTGCTAATCAAAACCGAATCTGAAAATCGTCGATTGAATATTGGGAATGCCGGGAACTCCCTTCGATCGGATTCGTAATGATCCTAGATGAGTTGATGATGATGCTGAACGTATTAAGCCTCGATGGGCTTTCTACGAGCTTTCGTACAATTACGAACATTGCTTAAACGAAGCACATTTAGTGCGAATACCTCATACGACTTTCCCTCTTATGTAAAGTACCTCCGTGCTCACTTTGTTACTGCCTCGATAAATGAACTTCTTTCACTTACGATCGATTCGGATTGATTTCTAAATTCTCTGGGCCTCCGGCGATAAAATTTATAGGACAATTGCACGCACCTTCGGAATAAATAATACAGGAGGTCGCTGTTAATAAAGCAGGTGACTGGTGAGGAGAGGAAAGGGGTGCGGAAAAGTGTATAATGTATGCGAGTCGGGTACATTTGGCAAACTGATGCGTAGAACGGAAAGCAAAAGATACATTTACTGTGCACAGTCGCGCACTTTATCTCTTTCTTATAAATGAAACTGTTTATTTATTATCCGATAAAGAGACGCTCACTTGCGCCATTCTCCGATTTAGCCTTAAAATATTGCTTTTATTTGATTATAAGAAAGGAAATTAAAATCAAACTTTTGAATATCATACTTTTTTTTTGGCATATTTTCATTAAACTATCTCATTTAGTGTCATCTTATTTCATTCGACTTAAATTTAATTATTTTATTCTACTGTCTTACTAATTTTCTATTATTTTATCAAGGAAATTATTTTACGTGTAGTTGTGAAATACGAGCTATTCAAATTTTAGCCAATAAATATTCTATTAAATTTGATGTTTGTAATTTAATAAACGCCCTATTATTTATTCTTTGGCATTTGCTTATATAATAACAATGATAATATTACCACGTGATATATTAATTCATCACCCGCTGTGTGAAATTCATAGTAGCAGATTTACTTGGAGCATAAGTTAAACTCAATTAATTAGAATACAATTGATTAAAATAATAAGCTTTCTTTGTGCTTCTACAAGAGAAAATCCGATTGATATCTTTTGATAAATTCCTCTCCCTTGATTAAATAAATCCTTTTTTTCCTACTGACGATGCATTCCTTCTTTCATCGATAAGATGATGTATCGAAGGATATAGTATTTCAGATTTATAAAGTATACTAAGCACTTGATAAAAATATGTGATAACAACAATAGTGTAATAAATAAATTTATTATTAAAAATTAACAAAATTTTCATGGAATGCATTTTCAATAATTTCTTATTAATGGAATCTAATTTTAAAATAAAATATTAATTTAAAGGAAAAATATTGTTAACAAATGAATAGATATGTGGGACGAAAAAGGCCATGGTATATTGTAAATTATAATGTTTACTTATTAATTCTTATAACTCACAATAATGATAGATTTGAATTAATAGATTACATTTAATGAATTGTTGAATTGCAAAATAAATCGCTATTAGAACCTTTCGATAATATATCGATCTTTTTTTATATATATGTTACATTTAATAAATGAACATACAATATACTTTATTGAACAGTTTCATTAGGCAGAAAAAAACGAATTAAAGTTCTAATGTAAATTTCATTTCATTTAGTCTGAAATTTATACATAATTATATTAGGTAATCTAAAATTCAGATTTTATAAAATACTCCATATATTTAATTATTGCTATGTACATTAACGATTTTAAACTAATTTTAAGATGATTTGAATTTTTTATATGCATACATGCATTCATATCAATGTACATGCAAAATCACACACGGACATGCAAATGCATATATATATATAATAGACATATAAAATTCAAACTATATTAAAATTAGTTTAGAATAGTATTTGAATATAATATAAATACTATTCAATATTAAAATATTAATATAGTTCGATTATCGTATGTATAATGAAAATTGTTTAAATTCGATATATTTAAGGATATTTTTATTCTAATATAAGAAAAAGCAAATAAATTTAATAAGAATATAATCCTGAAAGTAAATACAGCCTAATCTTGTAGTTAACTAAATTGTTAAGCCCTTAGAAGTAAGGATTAAATGAAGGATTGTATATAGCAAAGAAACTTTTTTCTTGATCTTCAATAAGTTTTTTTGCCGAAAGCAAAAGGTGAAGCCTTGGCCATCTTTCTGATGCCCGAGGCGCTTCGAAACTGCAAAGTCTGATGCGCAGTACATAGTAAGAACGCGTTCATGGAAAGTTTAAATAAGTTTTACGACTATGCTTGATTGATTTACTTTTAACTTCATAGAGAGTTTGGTACGTAGGACCTCCAAGCTTCCAGTGAATTTCCACAAGATCGAGATAAAGATAGATGACGGATATGGGAAAAAAGAGGTGGAAAAATTTTATGTAAAAATGATTTTTTTTATCGATGAATACTGATCGATGCAAACCAACTTCTGATTGCATCGAAAAGAAGAGAGAAAAATAAAGTATGGACAAGTCGTTCTCATTAATGTCTATTGTTGGTTACTTTCAAAAGTATTAAATGAGAAAAAATTTCTGTCCATGTTTGGCGATGCTTTATCACGTCTCAGTAATTACGAAACCCAGAAAAAAAACTAGAGGTGCGACAAAAAAAGAAGATCAAGCTGTATAGAGTAGCGAAGACCAATGAAAGAAAAAAAAAATTAAAAAAGAAAACTGAAATCTTGTAACTAATCCTGTTTATCTCCTTATAACATGAAGTGATTGCACATTTCACTACGGAATTTCAAACGTTTTTGTAGAAGTTACAATATTTTTTCCTAAATATCACAATTATTATGTTTAGAAAATATTAATTTGTAGTACAATTTTCTGTCGTTATTTATTATTATGTTATTATTCCATAGAATCTTAATATTAAAATTTCAATTAATATCAAACATTTCTAAAACATTTTATATAAAAATTTGAAAAATTTTCTTTTAAGTAAAAAAAAATGTATCATATAATATGCGCCATTTTTATTAATTCTTTTATTATTTAAAATATAGTTTTAGAAACTAAATTATAGATTTGAACTGAAATTGAATGTAAAATTTTTGAGTAAGGACAATTTAATTATCATTACTTAACAAAAATAAAGTAACGAGTATTAACAGAAATATGATTTACTCACATTCAAATGGTTGTGACTTTTTTTTTAATATATCTGATAATTCTGATTTTGTAGAGATATTTCTTAATACTCTGTATTGTATTTATTTGAAAGTCGTGTTTTTTCTTTGGAAGGGCCTCTTTTAAGAATCGACATATGGCAGTTTTTAGTAAAAAGACATGCATACTTGACTTTCAGAATTTTTGAAGATGGTGACTTTGCTCCAAGGATACAAGTAAGATAAGAGAGAGAGAGAGAGAGAGAGGGAGAGAGAGAGAGAGAGAGAGAGAGAGAGAGACACAGAGAGAGAATATGTATGTAAGATATTAAATGAGAGAAACAGAAAGCAAAAGCTACGTAAAGTTTGAAAAGTACAGAATGAGTAAAGTCGAAACATCCGAACTAGTACGAACAGAAAAGGTAAAAGATATGGAAGCGTCATACATTTTCTACCTTTGAAGCTACGAGAAAACTTGCTTTCCCTTGTCTTCATTCCTTCATCTAAATTCACAGATGACAACAAGAGCGTTCTATATCGATCCACTATAAACGAGATGTTGTATGTGTTTGCTTTTTAAATTCACTTTTAGTTGAATATAATATTTTTTCTATAATTAGAAAATAGTAGAATATTAGTTTGTAATTTAATTTGTGAGACTGTAATATAAGTCACATAGCCATTTTAAAATTATTCGACTCACTTTACAAAATGATTTGCAATCGATCAATCACTTTTAAAATTTATACGATCTCTTATTGTAATATAAATTTTTCCATTAGTGTAGTACTGAAATATATAGGAATATTTGTTATTTATAATTGTTTTGTAGGACACTTGATCGATCAAATTTTTATTTTCTTTTTTTTTTAATTAATGAAATTATATATTTCTTGAGATATAATTCTTATTATTTGGAAATTATTTCAAATAGTTTTATTGATATTATTTTTTTATGCATTTAATGCAGTATTAATATTTTTTTAAAAAATTTTATATTTAAATATTTTGTATTCAGAGGAAAAACAAAATCAAAGTCACCAGTCCGAATTGGAAACGAATTCACACTTTTTTAGTTTGCAGTAGTTACATTCTTATCTTCAATTTCCTGACATTTCGAACGTTGATTGTTCCTTTCCTTCGTCAATACGCGTATTCATCAATTTTCTATGATAAACTATTTAACGTATATAATAATTGAATACTTATATTTAGAATAAACATATATCTCTATTATAACATTTTAAATATAGAATTTGAATTATAGTTTTAACCAATTAACTATGTCACTTTTATTTTTAGTTTTACTTTTTTTTTTTTAATATAGAAATTGAAATTTTAAAGCTACTTATTTATACGAAGGAAGTAAATATATATATATATATATATATATATATATATATATATATATATATATATATATATATACTATTCAATAATGGAAAAGAAATAGTTGATTCAAGCGTAAAACTTTTTGATAAGCACAATGTATATGACAGAGAAACTGAAAACTACATCCTACCGTCATCTACTATCTGAACTGAAATATTACTGAATATTCTCATTTTCGAAATTAATTTTTGTATTTAGTATAGAAATTTCGAATAGAAACAATAAAAAAGTCGCATAGTTAATGAGAGAAATATATAAAGAAATTAATTATATTACTTTAATAATATTATCAATAATTACAATTGTTAATTCATTAATAATTATTAATAATATTAGTACTTATATATATATATATATAT